ATCATCTTCGTCTTACCTGGAAACTGAAGATATTTCGCTTTATAAGGCTCACAAGTTCCTCTTACGGTAACACAGAAGTACGACCTGTTACACGCTGAAGGTAAAAAAATAACAGAACTCAATAAGTTGTCAAACTTAAAAATAAAATTTCCAGTAAAATATTGCTGATTAATGTTTAAAGTCGGAGTTACTGTAACGGACCATAAGAAACTGCCAAAAAGTTGAATAGACCAGGTCATCAAAGGCATCATTCAAGAAATTTTGGGCTTTTCACTTGTTTGTCTATACATACATTATGTTTCAAAAAGTTCTACCAACAAAGGTTGGGCTTTCTTTTCTTACGGTACATCATGGATTTTATTTTCTCAGTCGAGCTTCTGCCAGTTTTGCGGGTCTTTTGAGCCAGTTAGGTCCACGGTGCGGGCGAAGCCAGGCATGCCAGCTAGTATACATTTAACACATACCAGCGCTTATTGATCACGATCAATTCTGTCTTCTTAAAAAGATTTGGCAGAATTTTCGACCAACCCATATCTCGAGGAAATTCAGTTCAGAAGAACTTCATATACTTTTCACCTTCAATATTATACATAACCATCCCGTGTATTTTTACAGTAACTAAGCTCAAAAGTTACAAAAACAGAACAAATCTGTTAAAAAGGTTTCGCACAAATTTATGTAAGCTAAAAGTTACTGCATGCAAACACTACTATTTTCTTGCAACTTATATCACCAAAAGTCGCTATTTTTCAAAGCGTACACAAATATAAAGGTAGAAACTTGAGTTGTACGTTTGTAAGCCTTTCTTAATCACTACAGTCAAACGATGAGACTAGTTCTTGACTGCAAAGTTTCTTTTTAGGCTTCACGCGAAAAGTGGTATGACAGCGATAACTCGTTCATGTTATCTACCATAGTATGAAAAGCAGGTCCAAATTAGTCTTCGTGTATGCGCTGCAAAAGTAGTTCGACAACGATGCTAAATCCATCGCGCCATAGGCTTACCAGAGATGAACACAGGAGTGAGGTGGTCGCCATGGTTAGATGCTTCTCATATTATTGACTAACGGAAAAGGCTAAAAACTTATTGGAATGTAGCGAAGTATACAAATATCCATTGACTGGAAGAGAGAGTGCACAGTTATTATTTACATTTGGTTTCTTGTGTTCTCAAATTGCCTTAGAAACGGTCAAAGTTATGCTATGTTTTTCAATTCCCAATGTGAGGATTTTCTACCCTCTTACAATCACGAGATGTTGTTCCAGACTTTGCTGCGGAAACAGGACTACTAATAGGTCAAAATTGTAGTTGCAACTTTGATGAAAATCTCTTACAGTTTCAAGAATATTCTGTGGAGTCTAAAAAAGCTGAAACCCCATCCTTAAGAAATGGAAAACTAAACGAAATATTATGGTCTATCATGAGTGCATTCGAATATATGCTCCCTATCTAGCATCAATTTACACGCCGTTTCCTATGCTAAAAAGTAATCTAAATTACGAAAACCTTTTAAAACCTTTCTTCTTGTATGAGAATTTACGAAATGGAGAAAAGTAACAAAGTAAATTCTGGTGAGTTACCCTTTCATGGACATTTCATAAGCGCTGTCTATTTGTATATATCGGTTTACCTTCGCTCCTTTTTCTTGGTTTCAGTTCCAAGCTGCAAGCTGGTGTAGAACTGCACGCTGCACAGAATTAGATCAGGAGCAAACTTACTGCACATTGATAAGGAAGCATGGTTTTGTGTTGCTTTTTTAATTTACTGTTTACTTTGCTGACAATATGTTCTTCGCACCTTGCATGGTGCACCTCTTGGAGGGCAGCAAAGGTACTATTACCATGATTTTTTTTTCAATAAGTAAAACTGTATTTATGCGAATCTGTGATGTGAATAAGAAGCTATGATTTTCATAATGTGCGACAGAATTTTTGCATGAACCCAATACTTTTTTGGGAAGATGGCGGTGCTCAGATTAGCATATATACATGTATTATTAAGCTAAAATCATTCAACAATAACAATTAAAAATAAAACGAATCGCATCAAACAACAATTGTTTTAGGGGGTTGATGAAATCAAAGAGACGAGAGACTCCGAAGAGTGCTGGTGTTGTGGTGTACTTCTTCACGGTCATGACTGAGATGACTTTTCAAAAGTTGTCTCGATAAGAGAACACCACGAATCAGGTTTCATGTTTGCCTTGTTGGGAACCAAAGCTCAACTTTGTTGATCTGAAATTGAGTTATAGCAAATCTAGATATTCAAGGTCTCATCCACGATGGATTAATGAGTTGATTCTACGGTTTGAAAAGTAAAGAGGGCAGTGGGCAAGGCACTGGTACTTTGATAAATAAAATATAATTTCTATTGTTCCAATTAAGCATTCCAAGTTTATTGCAAAATGATGATTGATACATAGCTGCAAGATGATCGAAAGGAGAAACTTCAATATCCGTGAAATTTTCTTTTGTTAAATATGTTTCGAATAAAAAATCTATTTGCTAAACAGTTATTAGGTTGGCTAATAAATAAGTTTGGTCGCTTTTTCAGCTCTTTCAAATGCCGTAGGCAAATTTTTGTCCAATGCTTGGTATCTCTAAAAGGAGCACTTCACTGGATAATGGAGCATATATTCTGTTTGAGTGAAACTTATCTTCCAAGAAAAATTTTTGCAAAGAAGTGAGAAAGCGCTAATTTTTTCATAATGCGCAATGAGGAAATTTGGTTTTCTTAGTGAAACATTTTCGAAGTGGCAAGTCACAGTTCTTTTTGTTGCTCACTAATTAGGGAAAACTCCTCTGTATCCAAACACCAAACTGCTGTTTTTTACATCCAATACAGCATGAAAACGAAGCTTAGGAAGGCAAAAAATTGAACTTTTGGAAATTCGCCATATTGGGGCATAACTCTCTTTACTGACGATAGAAAATCCTGATTATTCGGTATGTGATAGAGGAAGATTCGAACTACTCTTCCACAAAGAATCATAGATTAAAAACAACAAGAAAATTTTTTATGATGACTTGTATGTCAAAACAAACTGATTTTTTAGCCAACCTAATAAGAAAAAATTTTGACTTAAACTTCTTAAGCTACTTCCAAAAACATTTTATGCAATAGCATGATGTCTTGCAAAGGAGTAACAAATTTCGTCAACAAATTCGGCTGTTTATCAAAGAGTTATGTATTATGCTGTTGAGAGCAATCATCGTTATAAGTATTTCTAAGTACACTGGGGAGAATGTTCTTGATGTTTCAAAAGTTGTAACATTTGCGAGGTGCGAAAAACTTCTTGTCAGCAAAGCAAACAGTGACTTGTTAAAGCAACATAAAACTGAGTTTACTTCCTCAACCATTGTGCAGTAATTTGCTCCCGATCTACTTTTGTGCAGTGTGAAGTTTTGCATCAGCCTGCAGTCTGAACTCCTGGTATCAAGAAAAAGCGACGAAGGTAAACCGATATGTAGAACACATAGAATTCAGCGCTCAGTATAAATATGTCCAGGAAGGTGCCGCAGTCAGTCAGATTTATTTTCTTAATTTTCTCCATTCTGTAAATCCTCATATCAGATAATGTTTTGAAAGTTTAAGTAATACGGAATACTTTTCAACATAGGAAAGAGTGCGCAAATTGGTGCTTGATCAGGGACAATTATTCGAATGCAATTATGATGAATTATATTTTAGAAACAGTGGTTAAGTTTTCATTTTTTCACGATGATGGAACTCTTTCAAACGTTAACCACATAAACTTCAAATCTCTTGGAGATTCATCGAAGCTGCAATGCTAGAATATTTGATGTGATTGGATTTTGGATCCGCAAATGTGGTTACATTTCTAGTCTTCGCAATATTTGTAATAATATCTCGTGAACACAAAAAGTTAGAAAATTGCCATATTCGGAGATGAAGATCGTACAGATTTTCAAAATCATAGAAAAAATCACGCATACTTCAAATAATCGGATTTAGTTGATAATTGAGCACCTCTTTTCTGTTTAATCAAAATACTTTCCATACTTCGTAAGATTGGATAAGATTGGATACTTCGTAAGATTGGATATACAATTTTTTTGATAAGTAATATAAGAAGCATGTAACCACAACGATAAATCCATGTGTTTATTCTTGGTAAAATCCAGTGTGATGAATCTATCATCACTCATTACTTCTGCACGGTATGAACAAAACCGATTTAGATCTGCCAACCTCAACGACGAATAATATGAGCAATTATGGGTTTTCGCTGACTCATATCATTTTTCTGGGTGGAGGTTATAATTCAAAGGACCAATTTCGTCTTTTATCCGTCAAATTGGCGACTTGCAAATAGTCACAATTGAGTTTCCGGCAGAGACACCTGTAATCGCTCAAGCTACGCCATGTTAAGAACTTATTTTCATTGTCATAGTTGGTAACGAAACAGAATTTGTTGGTAGCTGTCATACAGTTTATCTTTGACTTTATGACAATGGTACAGTACTAATTCATACTCAACAACTTTATCGCTTCTCTTTCTCGCACTTTATTTTCTGAAGAAGCTCAATTACTGTAAAATTCGCATAGAGCATCTTTCAGTTAATGGTATAACCAAAGCCTGCTTGTTATGCACGCTTTATAGGCTTATGGAGAAGAACGGAAAAGTTTCACTGTTTTTCCATTTCGATGACTGACAATGAGAAAATGTAATACTGCTCAAGATTCTTTAGTTGACGCAGTTTTGTGCATAGTCTTACTCAAATCGTCTCGTTAGTCTTTATCGCAAATTTCTAAATTTGTCACGTAGTTTCCTAGTTTTCAAGAAGATTTCAGCTAAAAAGTTGTCAACATATGTAGCTTTGATTAGAATCTTCTACTAAAGATCTTACTCCCTAGTTTAAGAGTATTTAAAGTTTGAAATGACTTCAGTACCCAAAGAAATAGCCACGGAAAGTAAGTCGTCCTCCGTGTTACATTATACAAGACCATATGTCACCTTTACAAAGCGATGAAATATGAAAATTGCTTCAATTCTCAGGCGTAATCGACAAACGCAGGATGATGAAGCTATTAGCGCTATTAGCTCTTGCCATGGCAGTCGCTGCAGGACGTAAGGATTTTAGTGGACCAATAAGAAAATTAAAAGATTATTTTTGAATGTTCAGCTGGAATGATGGAAGATATACCTGGAGTAAGTCAGGCCAACATGGAAAGACTACGTCAAAGCTTAAATGTATGTCATTTTTACAATTTGTTCTGCATAAGCTCAACCTCTGAAGTAATATCTTCCTTTATCATCAGCGACGGTTATTTGTGCCAAAAAATTGATAAGAAGATATTGTTTGAAGAATGATATTCTATCTACAGTGAAGTTCGCCTGCACTTATCTAAAGCTATTATATTTGAATAACAGTAACATGACTTTGATTTATTTAGCCTCGTCCGAATGGTCCTGAAGAATTTAGACGAAAGATGCAAGAATGGGAAAACAGTCTACCTACAGCAGAAAGGGTTTGTAAGAAAAACTTGCTTGTTTTGTTTCTTAAGTTTACTATTCCAGGCTGCAGCTCAAGCTCACAGAGAGCAGATGCAGGAAAGGCATCATGCTGGTAGGCTTAACTTAATGATCATTATTTTATTTATGAAACTCTACTTACCGAGAAAGGAAACATATAGGTAGCAAATCCAAAATTGTGTAGGAAAAACCATCACAATAAAATACTCAGAAAATTATTGTAAGAAATTTTATAATAGCTTGAGCCGTATACGGAATATTGTTGAGCTCTCTAATCCTTTGTCCAGAATTCCTCCAAAGAGGCATCCCCGGTGTGAGCGCCGCCAGCATGGATAGGCTGCGTCAGATAATGACTGTAAGTCTTCCAAAAATATTCTAGGCAGAGCATTGTCTTCATCCTCATGCCAATGAGTAAAAATATCTAATCAAGACTGCAAGTTTCTGATTTTTAGCCTAGACCAAATGGGCCAGAAGAATTCAGACAAAAGATGAACGAATGGATCAACAGCTTGCCGCCAGAGGACAAGGTACGCTACTCAATTTTTTCAGTGACCCTAATCGAAAGTTATTGTTTTAGGCAGCGGCAGAAGCGCATGAACAACAAATGCGTCAACGTGGTCCTCCTCCTCCTCCAGGCAATCACTGAAGACCTTTTTCGAAACAATGGATTAGATAACTGTAATAAAGCATTTCATAATCCTATTATTGTTTCAACCCTCTAATAAGGCAAAAATCAAGAGATATATATTGCGTAACGACTGGCACCTTGTAATTCACACCTACCATATGATATGAAACCATGAAAACTAGATTTGCAAGCTCTGTTGGTTACTTTTAAAAAGTTTGTTTAAAAAATTTGAGTTAATGATTATTTTGAAAAAGTGGCCCCATAAAAGGCTGCCTCATTTCAACGTTACCTAAGGGTTTGTAAGCTCTGTTTTCCGTGGGCAGTACCGCTCAAGGGCGTAAAAAACAATTCTTCACTTCATAACTTCACAGTAAAGTGAGAACAATTGAAAAACAAAGAAAGTAAAACCACATAGTATGATACTTTTTTCTGTATAAAAACAAGGCTTGGTCACAAACTCCTTAACCAGATGCGGTTTCGCGAAAAACTATAAGATGACTCTCATAAGTTCTTCCTTATTTCCATGTATTCCGCATTACAAAAAGTAACTACATCAATGGAAATACGCCCAAATATACCACGCTCGCTGTATTGGCGACGAGCTCACAGCGTACGAGGAACAAAGTTTTTATAATATTGATGAAAACAGAGAAATGCGCGGGTAAATCGATTCACTGTGTTTTGTGAGTCATTTGATGTGTGAGTTACAGCAATGTAGCTTCTGAATCCGAATGGTTGTACTGGTAACAAATTTTTCTTTTATTATTTGGCTAGAAAGTCGACATTTGAGGAATTCTAACTTTAACGGTTAACTACCTTAATGATTTGAAAGCGAGGTCTCTGTTTAAGGCCAGCAAGCATTGACAGCGGAAGCTAGCAGGCAGTTCACAGATAAAAAGAGTAAAAAATTTGAAAAGACAACCAAATATACAAAAGAAGAAACAAGAAAAAAGCGACCACCAGAAGAGACATAATCAGCACGAAAAGAGAGCAAAATGATATTGGTTAGAACAGTAAAGCAAAACAGTTGATTCAAAATAGGTAGGCGCTAGAGGTAGAAACCTTTTTTAGATTGCTGAAGCAAAAAACTAAGAGGACAATGCGCAACTTCTGAGAGACTATTGATTCATCGTCTAGAATCTGTTGCTGAGAAAAGAGAGTAGAAATCTCAAAAGAGTTCTCTGCAATCTATTGATTAGAACAACCCCTTGTGATTTCACATTTGAGCTTCTCCGTCAAACGCTCTGCTTCAAGCCTGAAAATGTGTTTTCTGGTAAAAGCGTTATAAATCATAGACTAGTAACATGCATTCTAGTTTGATCCTACTCGTCATTACCTTAAAGGTTTTGACAAACTTGGTCTTTCAAAATGCAAAAGTAGTAGTGGCTAAAATAGAGAATCTAGATTTGTACGCAGTAACGATCTCCGAACTCTGTGTATCACATTTGTGAGCCCTTTGTTGGAGGGAGACCATAGCGAAGTGCAATATTTCAATAGGGGAGAAACATACATGACTAAAAGGCGAAAGAGAATTTTTACATTGGTGATTTTCAATCCACAAAGAATGTAATTGCACCTAAATAGTGCAGGGCCCGGCACGCGGTGAGCAAAAGGGGTTTGCGAAAAGGAATCCCCCGTTGATCCAAAAACTGAACTTTGTGCTTGCGCCTTAAACACTTTGCACAGGAACAAACACTTCATTTTCACTTTTCGAAAAAAAAACATCTAAAAAAGTTTTTTTCATAAAAAGACCAGAAGTTACTACTTTGAGTTGCTTTAGATACCTCAATATGCTCAAAGTTAGTGGAATGTAGGAGAATGCAATCAGAGAGTTTTAAAAGAATAAGTTTAGACAAAAAGATTTTCACCAGCTATTTAGCTACGAAAACTGGTCTCCAAAGCGCGATGCTCAGCTATAGCCAATTGAGCCCTTATGTGTGCAGGTGCACCCACTATCCACATTGCGCGTAGCATCCCCAGTATCGTCTCCTGTTTGAAATTATCTTTGATAAATCCACCTATCAATGCTTCTAATACACGGAAGGAATAAAAATCAAGAAGAAGACAAAAATAGTTTCACAAGTAAAATGCCGCTCACAAGGTATATATATCGAGAATATCGAGAATATCACGCGCACAAGTGTTCGATCTGCACCTGCATACAAGCTTACGAGATAATCACTATACTAAACATCGCAATGATAAAAAGATGAACCTGCTTTTCATTTCTCTATAGCAACTTAGCACTTTTTTCTCAACAAAAGAAAAACGTAAGGAAGACGAAACTGTTGGCGAAAGAGCGGAGCCGGAGTGGTCGACAATCATGTCCTTTTTAGTGACCGCAGGTGACCACCATGGTTGCGAGGTGCTCCATGACCAGCATACGATGTAGACGGGGATACGTTAGTGTAGACTTGAGGTACAGAAAGGAAAGCCTTACTAGCAGCACGTAAAGCTGGCACCAAGCCCAGAAAAAAGATTTCTTCGATGCAAGACTCTTGATTAATGACGTGGTTGGTGCTGAAAGTAGAAAGCATTGAATAAAAACCGCCTTTTTTTACATCTGAGAAAGAACCTGAAAGGTAACGCAGTACAATTTCAAAAATCAAATCTCTACGGATGTGACCTTACATACTAAAAAAACTCCAGAAAAGCCATCAAAACAATGTTTTGGGCCAAACTTGAAAAAGGAAATGTATAAATTCATACTGCAAACTTTGTTTAGAAGTATTTTTTTTTTTGCAGAATTAGCCATAAATTGCTAGAAAAGGTTTAACTTTCCAACAGTTCAGAGAAAAATGGATAAAGTCACCGAAATTTGCAAGTCTGCAACGATGTTGAGCTTGAGATAAGGCTCATTGCAAAGACCACCCCATCTTCTCTCGCCATCTAGCTGGAATCATCGAATGAATAATAGATGAATAATACGTACGTAATTAACCTAATTTGAAAAAAATTCGGGCACGCTCTTTGTTCACATAAGTTTCATAATTTTTCATACTTTGTTTCTTGGCCCTATTGAGCGTATAACCACTCGCGCAATTTTGTCATCTTTGCGTTGCAAACAAGTCATTTTCCATTTTTTTGGTAACGAGATATTTTCTTAAAAAGCTTGCCACAACTTTCAATCACATATTTTTTTCGCTTCTCAAGTTGACCTCTGCAGGCCCACTTATGCACGTACCAAGTTTCACATCATATAGTCCTTTGTACGTTGCAAACGAACCATTTGAAGTCACATCTTCTTTCACCGCTATGCAAAATTTTTGAAATGCTTATTACATTTTCCATTCGCGTTTCATTATTTTTTCATGTTTCCACTAGCCTCTCTCCTCTAGCCATTCGCTTACGAAATTCGATGCATATCGTTACCGCATACGTTGAGAACTAGTAATGTATGCTGTTACAAAGCATAGGTTGAGCTACTTCGCGCGTGCGGCAATTAGCGACGGCGCGGATTGAGCGCGCGAACTCCAGTGTTCGCCTGTTGAGGCACATAATATGTTAAGATAAGCAGAGAGCATGAACTACCAATTTTTTCCGGGGCTTCACTCCGGACTCCGCAAAAACAATTGCCCCTTTTCTTTTTTAACCAAAACGATTTCCAGCCCGTCATTTGCCTGCCACGTGCCTTGCCCTGAGGTAGTGTCGAGCGGAGCGGCATATCTTGTGTGTACTTCTTAATTCTAGATTGTCGGAGTAAGTGCATAAGAATTTCTCAGAATCTTGAAATCTAGGACAAGCTGTAAATCCGTAAAAGAATACTAGATTATAGGCGAAAGGATCAAATCTAATTTCAACGAAAAATGAGGAAGTTCCTTGATGAATTATCTAAACCAAGCTGTACGATGCAATTTATAAACAGCATTGATTGCAAATTTTTAATTTAAGGAGTGGAGCTCGCTTTCATTACGCTTAGATGCACTCATCAAAAGGCAAGCGCAGTAGTTCTGCTGCGCTCTTCGGCATGCAACACACAAGTCCTGTCTTACCAGTTTGAAAAAAAAGTAGCTCTTTTTACTAGCAAAATCATGTTTCATATTTGGATATCTGGGCTTGCTAAGATAACAACAGGAAGTTATACCTATTTTGTGTTACTATATTGTTTATAAGGATCTGCAAAGAGAATAAAGGCCTCACACAAGGCCTTTCTGTCGCAAGTAGCGCACTCTTATCCGAAGATGCACGCTCATTTTCAAACATTCCAATCCATGGACTTTCATAACCAGTAAGCTCATGTGGTTGCGCAGTATCGTAGGCAGCTGCAATGAGTTCAGGGTTGTGATGCAAGGCAAATGAGGAACGGCGCGAAAAAGATCGGAGAGAAGCAGCATTGCCTTTATTACTTAGCATCCCTCAACGATTGCTTTTCAAGAGGCAAAAAGCGAATGGTGTAGTGGATTCAAAATATCGCATTTCCGCAACATCAACAATTTCCTTTGTTCTATTTTTCGAGCGGAATTTCTCTAGCAGACGATTAGTATCCTTAACGCCTGACAAGTGGTCTGTGCCACTTTCTGTGATTGCTGCAACCTCAGGAAAATAAAAAACTGCCTGCGAAAAGAAAGTGAGAGTTTGCGGTATCCATATGTGATTCAGACGTGATCAGGCAGAATCATCCAATGCACAACATTGTATATCACGTATGCGCCGTCGACTTCGCCAAGCAATGCCACTGTTTACGACATTGGTAGATATAGCACCCTTAGCGGGGTCTAGAGCATCGTTAAGCGCCTCAAAAGCGATTTGCCTATCTGTTTCTTCCTTACACACTTGATAAAACCCACAAACCCCACTGCACGGCTAGCTTCTAATAATAACTCCGCGATTACAAAGACAAAGTCAGGCCAATAATCAGCAGCGTTTAGGCCCTATTGACAGGATTGCCGGTCTCTCAACATCATGCTAGTTCAGTGCATTCGTTCTGCCCAAGTAAACAATGAAAACTTCTTCGCAACGCACACATAACCTCTGGCTGCACGGTAGAATTATTTGATGTGACATCATCCTACAGAAACGTTGCAAATAATGCAAGATGTTTGTACGAATTGCTATTGCAAGGCCAGCCTTCTTCTGGCCTGTACAGCTTTAGCATAAGCGGCGTTATGGTTTTTCTGAAGGATTGCTTAAACTGTTCCTTAGTTTGCTGGTGCTGCTTGAAACACTTATAGGCCAACAATCTTTTAATCAAGTATGAGGTTGTCTCATAACTATTTACCGTTTTTATTACAGCCGTCGTCTTTTTGTATCCTTCCTTCAATTAATGGGGATTGAGCAACCATTCGACAGCGCAAAGCAAGCTCTTCAAGATGGCTATCAACAATCTGCCCAGATCGTATTTCACATGAAGTTCTGAGTTCGAGTCTGATAGCAGTCAAAAACGGACTTTTCGGGAAAAAAATCGTACTCCAAAAAATCTCACAAATTCCTCATCTATCCTAGCATATGCTTGACACATCAAGCATTCAACTGTACACTTTTCGTAACTTTCCATGGCTAGAAATAAAGAAAAAATTGAATGGAGTAAAATGTCAAACTCCGCTCCTAGACGTTCTGAGCTCCTCCCACACACGCAGTGGCGTACCGAGAGGGGGGGGGGGGGGAGGGCGGGGGGGGGGGGCCTGAGAAGGGGTCGCGAAATTTTTGAAGGTTACTTACATGAGTCACAAAAATGTGCAAAAGACTTATTCATACTTGTAAGTAATTAAAATAATTTTTTACATTTTTTAGAAATTTAATTTAGCTTTATAAAAAAATTTTTTCGGGGCTTGTATTGACTACAATAACAGAACATAGCTATGAAAGTTACGTAGGTGTTTTGCACAGCTTTTCGCAAACTTCATGCCCCATAAGTGATAACTTGGACTTCCAAACCTCAAGAATTCTTTCAAAGAGTTGCTCCGCAAAAAGGAAAACAGGTCTAGAATCAATATTTGAAGACGCGTTTAGCGATTTTGTCATCAATCGCCAGCTTAAGCTGGTATCCCTCCCTTACAAGGCTCTGGCCGTCTGTACGTCTACTTTGGCTTTCATACAAGTCACAGATTGAAGGTTATCCTGAGTTCTGACGTTGGCGTCTAAGAGAACATTCCGCTAATACATCATTTTCCACACTCTGGCGATGACAATAAAGCGCGTGGGCCTCGTTAAATTAGGAGTTTTTAACATCTTTGTTGCTGTTTAAGAAGACGATACAGCATTGCATGAGGCTTTCATAAAAAAAAATATTAGGTTAGAAAGAGGTCGTTTTTTACTGCAGAGCGACAGGGTGAATTGGAATAAATATGTGAAGGGCATTATTCTATAAAGAGAAGCACGCTCTACAAGATGACATCTGAGCATTGACTTAAGTCGTGGTTTACCCAAAGTTTAAAGCCAAAACATAAGAGCAACACATAGTGCCAAAAATTGGATTTTGGCCTCAAAAAATACCATGAACTTTTGATTTGCTCCAGCATGTAGCAGACACATACACTTATCCATCTATGCACTTGCCATATTTTTGGCAAGTAAAAATCGATGAATAACGAATAATGACAAACTCCGTCCGCAGCAGTCCTGGGCCCCGCCCATATAGGCAATTTGTACTACAAAACTTCGAGACTTTAATCATGAAGTTTGGGCCTTCCATATGTTTTAGTTCGCGAGAACACCAATTTTAGCTGAAAAAAACCGAAAAAGCGACATTCTTTTCTTTGCAACCCAATAGATGTGTTCGTATCTTTTGACCCAAAAAAGCATTAGCATAGCATTATGATAATTTTGAAAAAATTATTGATAGTTGCTATACAGTGCTGTTCAGAATTACAAATTCTACTTGAAAAAAAAGCAGTACATTGTTAGTGAGTCTTTGTTAATTGAAGCGTCTGATGTTTTTCTACATTCTGCAAATGCCGCAGTGCCATACCCAAAACGGCTTTCAATATCATTGAAGTTGAATGGAGAAAAATAGGGAAATTCGACTAAGTCTCCGTGAAGGCTGGACGCAATTATGGTTTCATTACTTTTTCAACCATTAGTGCATTTCCCGACTTTCGTAAATTTGTACGTCTATGTCTTAAGAATAATAAATCTTTGCAAAATCCAAGAACTATCGCTTTATAAAAAATTATTCTGCATTTTTTGAACTTGAATGCAGTGAAAGTCAATCCGTTTCAAAAGACAGGTGATTTGAGAAGTTCCATGTGTTTGTCTGATAGAAAAGTCCTGGAAGCCTTTGTTTTTTTGAGAAATAAGATGAAAGGACTTTTTCCGATCTGCATAAACTGAAAAGCTTTCGCATTGTATTCTAAACCAGTCCCGAAAGGATGCAATGCAATAATATGACTTGCAAAGGAGTTGAAAAAGCACTTTATGTCAACACCATCGGCTTTTCGTCATACTGTTGAGAGCAAGTACCGTTACCCAGTAACTGGAGAATGTTCTTGATGTTCCAAAGGTTAAATTATTTGCAATACAAAGAGCTCTTCGTCACCAAAGCAAGCAAGTGACAAAGTCAACAAGTATGTCTAACTCCTCAGCGATTGGTGCACTAATTTTCCTCCTAATTTACTTTTGTGCTATTTGCACTTCTGCAGCTTATATGTAAGCTACAAATTCGAAGAAAAAGTAACAAAAGTAAATCGGTATGCAAACCACTAAAGTTTCAGCGTTCAGTATAAATATGTCCGGGATGTGGCGCAGCAAAGTATCTTGCTACTTTCCTCCATTTCATAGATTCTCCTACATTAAAAGATGGTTTCAGTGAATTAGAGTTACTTTCCAAAGTAAGATGAAATGGGAAATTTCAATTAGTTTCTCTTATATTTATGGTAATTGTCGATTTCAATCTTCTACCAATTCGGTTGCAGGTTAATCTACAGAAGTCATTAAATTTACAGATCCTTTCTTTGTCATTGATGGAGAGGATAAACACAACAAAAAAAATCCAACCTGTGCCCATCTTTGGTAAAATCTAACGCTTCGGTAAATTTCAAATCACTGCAACATTACTATAGCAGAGTATCAAAACTAACTCAACCTGCTCCCACGCTAATTTGGATGGTCCAGTTATAAGCTTCTGCTGACTCATACCAATTTGCTGTATGAATAAAAAATTTGACGTTGCAGTCGATGAACTACCTTATATTACCTGTACTAAATAAGGAAAGCTCGCAAAGGTGTGGAAAGAGAGTCCGAAAGGAAAACAAAAATTGTTACTTTAGCTGTTATACAATCTTTGGCTTGGTGACAATGAATTGTGAAATCATTTTTTAGCAGGTCTGTTTCGTCTGAACTTCTGAGCTTTGAAAGTTGAAGCTCATTTGAAACAATTTAACTCTAGCTTTCATATTGTAACCTTCAGCATCGGCACAGCATCACTGGATATTCAATACTTGCGTTGCATTGAAATGCACCCAAAATATACATGTTTAGCTTGCTCGATAAGATGATAAAGGAAAGCGAAAAGAATTCATAACTCTTATTGGCTGAATATCGAAATTAAACTTGGATACAAGCAGTGGAAACTACAACACTTGTTCTAAGTTTTTGATCTTAGCTTCTGCTAGGATTTTTGGTAGATTTTAGAGACGCCAAAGTGTCTTTGAGGAGCATTTCTTTCTTAAACCTAGACACAGTACTTGTTGACTTTTTAGTTAACATAGCTCTACTAAGAAGGAAAGAAAGATTAATTTAGCCCTTCAATATGAGAGATACACCTTGAAGGGTACGAAACGCTGATACAAATCTACCTTCCTCATCTGCTGCGATTCTTTGCTGAAGAGTCGCGAAGGTTTTTATGGGCAAAAATTTGCATGTGCAGCTAGGACAAGATCAATCGTAGCAATTTTCCTAACGCTCGAATAATTTTCGAGTTACTCTTTGCGATAAATATTCTTATTTCAAACATATTTACTTAACTCTGCCATTTTGAAACGCTAGAAAAAGCGAAGGACTGACTTCGCACTGATCATGTGTTGAATATTTTTCCCATAAAAACCTTCAAAACTCCTTGCTCAGAAGCCCGCAGCAGATAAGAAAGGTAGATTTGTTTCAGTGTTTCAGCGTTTCATATTCTTCAAGTCAGTATACATCTCATACAGAGATGTCACTTCGACTAACCTTTTTTTCCTTGTAAGAGTAGACCTGTTCACTTCTTCCTGACTTTCTCTTTTTTTAGCAAACATTCGTTTAAAATAAAAGTTTGTACTATTTACCACACTTATCACGTATCAAGTAAGCGTACAGGTAACCGTGTTAGCTTTACAAGCCGCAAAAAAACATAGGAACAATTTCATCTTATAGGTGTAACAGGAGACCAACAACAGGATGTTGAAGCTGCTAGTGTTCCTCGCTCTTGCCATGGCAATCGCTGCAGCGCGTGAGAATTCGCGTTGATAGAGTATATAAAAAACAATTTTTGAATGTTCAGCTTGCGCCATGGAAGATATACCTGGAGTAAGTAAGGCCAACATGGATAGACTGCGTCAAATAATGGATGTATGTCTTTTTTGATGTTAGGTATAGACTCGATTCTTGGTCACAAATAAAATCTTAGTTTTCTATCAAGAATGAACTGTTTTACCGAAAAAATAAAGGCTAAATGGCTTTTTCGTTGTAAAGTGCACATGCTTGACCTTGATATTGGTGCTAATGAAAATAATGAAAGCAAAGTGATTTGTATACCATTTCAGCCTCGACCGAGGATTGAAGAATGGGAGAACAGTTTACCGACAGCGGAAAAGGTTAATTTTTATTTTTTTTTCAAAATTTTTACTGCTATCATCCAAAAAAGTCCCATTTCAGGCTGCAGCTATAGCTTACAGAGAACAAATACACGAAAAACATCATGCTGGTAGGCTCATGTTTTGAACCAACCACGATCTAATCCTAAAAAACATAGAAAATAAATCAGCAGATCTAACGAGTTTGAAACTTTTTGCAAGCAAACTTGTAAACCTTTTTTAGAGTTTCTTAGCAGAGACATTCCCGGTGTGAGCAAAGCTAGTATGGATAGGCTACGTCAGATAATGAACGTGAGTCTTCCGAAGATATTTCTGGTCTTGAAATAAAGCAATTTTTCTGTGTTCTGAAGCATTAGGAACGTAAATGACTAGAAAAAAAGTTCATTAATTTTAGCCGAGACCAGATGGGCCGGAAGATTTTGAAAAGAAGATAAACGAATGGATAGATAGTCTACCACCAGAGGATAAGGTAGTTTACCCACTATTAATGATATCATCCAGTATAAAAGTCAACGCTTTAGGCCGCAGCAGAAGCGCACCGGGAAGAAATGCATAAAAGACGTGGCCCTCCTCCACCCCGTCCTTCGTTCTAAAAACTATACTCAGGACGGACCACGTAGTCGGGATAGTGTATTCTCATCATTGCCGTGCCGTAGCTAATAAAGAAAAATCTAGCGATATTTTGCACATTGAAATCGAGATATAGTACAATCGCGAACACTTCAGCAGCATTTTGACGATATTGTCAGAGTTTCTTTTGGGTAAAGCATTTTAAAATTCGTCTTCCTACAATTAAAGCAAAAATTCAAATCTAATAGCAAAAGTGTTCATCGTCGCGTAATATTGTACGGTAGGGAAAACTACTTACATTCCGACCCCAGGTTTAAGCTATCAAACGCCTCGAGTCATGCCATCAGTCAAATCTTATCTCTTTTCGTAAATTCTTGTCATTTCGATTACCTTACTCTATGCCGTCTGACGGCCGAATTGAACTTTTGCGGTTTTACAGATAGGCTTGAAGTAAGCAGTAATGGAGTTTAGACCATTGAAAAATAGAATTACTTTGGAACATTCAACGGAATGGGCCATCAACTTTCAATAAATTTGCCCGGTTGTGCACAAAAAGTGGTTGAATCAGACTTTTTGCAATTTTATAGATATGCTTGACAGTAAGCAATAACGGAGTTTAGATATTAAAAAGCTAATATTACTTTGAAACAGTCAACGGAATAGTATTAGATGGGTCCGAAAATTCGTGCCTTTTTTTAGACCTGTTCTAAAATCGAACAAAATAAAGACAAACAAATCTTTCAGACAGTATCCGATGGAATTTCCTCTTCTTTCCAGCAGCTACATATGTTACCGTTGTGAATATTCCGACGAGCGGTGAGATGATTGTCGAAAAACTAGAAGTTCCATTTTTACCATGTCTATCTTTCGCTAATTTTTATTTTCATTTCAGGCCTCTAAAGGTGCTCTAATAACCAACTGATAAGGCAAACCTTCAAATTAATGCAATTTTTGCATCTTTCTGGCATGCTTGCTAGAATTACCAAAACCTATTTCCTAAAGTGACCAAATTTTATAATTGGCTTATTCTAACCTCGCAAAACATTAAAAATTGGACGGTTAAGGTACCGTTCCATGCACCTTTTTCTCCTCTTTCTAATAGCCATGTTTTCCTCGCGAAACATGACTTTTGCAAACAAAATCGCTGTACCTCCCAGATTTACGGGTGCGCAAGCTACTCAGACAATTATTACGGGCATCCGCGGCCCTTAATAGTGCCTTTTGGTGGCGCGCGGGCGTTAAATTTTAATACTCACCATCCGCGGCCCTTAACCCACTTGCTTGGCGACCGCGGCTCAATGTTTTCGCTAGTTAAAGGTCACGGGTTTTACTTCTTCTACCGGGACACCCGCGGCCCGGGAGAAAAACACTCGGGCGGGACACGGACCTTATTGAAAGCAGCCGCGGGCCTTCATGGGCGCCGTGCTCATCATTTCCGGGCAGGCCCCGGCCCTTCCAGGCAACGGCTTAACAGAATCAGTCTGACCAGCCGCGGGCCTTGCCGGACGCCGCAATTCTTACATGCTGTAAGCAAAGACGTTACTCGCGTGAGATACGCCGCGCTGATAGAGGTACCCTCAATAAGCAATGTTTACGCCGTTGCTTATCGTTTCTCGGTATGAGGCTAGTAGCAAAGACGGTCTGCTGAGGTATCCTCCTCCAGGGTTACCTGAAGTTGGAACCGGGGCCCTACGAGGGAAGACAAATTTTGACGCATACCCTGACTCATGTGCGAGGGCGAGGAAAATGGAAACAGATGTTCCAAAAATGGAATAAATGTATATTGTACTGCATTTAGCAACTGCGTATCGGGCCACGCGCGGATGCATAACGCGCATCAGTCGGGTGCTTGTCTGGACATCCATATTGTACTGCATTTAGCAACTGCGTATCGGGCCACGCGCGAATGCATAATGCGCATCAGTCGGGTGCTTGTCTGGACATCCGCGGGCGTCTTTCGAGCGCTTACCGGCGCATCCGCGGGTAACTCTCGGCTGCTTAGCGTGCGTTTACTCTACCACCCGCGGCATGGATGAAATGTCGGCGCGGGCCCTTCCGCGGGTGGTCGCGATAATTGTCTGAGTAGTTGAAATTCCAAAATCTACCCATTTTCGTTCCGTAATCGCTCATTTGCTTCGGCATACTGGTGATAGTAATAAGGGAGTTTTAGAACTTCGATATTTTGAGGATTTCGAAGTGTTTGGTGCAATTATTTGTTACGCGATTTTTTTCAAAATTCGATGCTCTGGTAATATAATCCAGAAAACTTTGGAAAGGAAGTTGAAAAAATGCAAAAAATGCTGGAAAGGAAGTTGAAAAAATGCAAATGGAAAGGAAGTTGAAAAAATGCAAAAAATGCATTGGTTTGAAAAAGGTTTGCCTTGCCAAATGGTTATTAGAGCACCTTTAAAAGTCTAGAATGAAAATTCTGAAAACTAGCGAAAGTTAGACGTGGAAAAATGAAGAGGTCTAGTTTTCGGCGATTATTTCATCTCTCGTCGAAACATTCACAAAAAAACAAGCATAGCTACTGGAGAGAGTAAGAAATTTTGCATCGGATACTATTTGAAAGATTTGTCTATCTTTATTCTGACCGATTATAGAACGGGTCTAAAAAAACGGCACGAACTTTCTGGCTCACCTAATACATCAACCTTCAATGAATTGGCGCGATTGTGCACAAAAAGTTCTAGCTGATCACGTCTAAATCAACAAGAGCAGTACGCGAATTTGTGTCGAGATGCATACTGTTCAAGCCTCAATTAAATGCAAAAAACTTTGTCTTTGATGCGTTTCGTGAAAAAGCAAGCAGCAGTTTTGAAAAAGTGATCAAATTTCTTCAAAAAAATTTTTTTAAAGCCAAAATTAGACAGAAACGATAAGCTAGACAATGACAATTTGTAAGTTCCATCAACAGCATTGGTTCAGAACACTACAGCGGGAAAGAATGAGTTGCATCTACTAGTTTTTCGTTGCATGTGGCTCTAAAAATGACACATTTTTCTGTTTTCACCTAACACAAAAGTGTAGATTTATGTATAATACACTGCTTTCAGCAAATTGAAACAAGCAGGTAAGCAAAAATTTGAACACCATAAACTCGAATGTAACTGATTCTACTTGGAATACTCATTAACATTCAAAAACCGTGAATAAGGATAATAGAGGATAAAAGATCGGGCATCTTCAGTACCCTCTACGGGCATGCGCCGAGCGTATCCTAAATGGTAGACCAGAAAGTTACTGAATGCATGCGAGCCTTCTACGGTGACTTGAGAGGGGGGGGGGTCATCCGATTACCAGAATGCTCCCCAGATTACTCTGGTACCAATCTATTGCTTGGAGTATAGAAGGCTTGGTTGACTCAGTAGGAACGGAATCGAACCTGGGTCCAAATTGGTCATAGCGACGCCTCACACCACTACGCCACTCATTCACCCCAAAAAGACTGACCAAACAAATGATGGTTTGAACTGTTCATAATTCAAAGCAGCTAGTCACCCCCTAAAAATCAAAATTTAAATTCTTTGATTTTTGTGTGCAACATCCTTGACCAGATTATTTTCGTGTTATTTATAGTTACTTCCATAAGCAAACCAGTCCAAGAAAAAAGTCCTCTGCTAAGGTTGTTGTGTCAATGATTCATATAAAAGGGGTCTCAAAAGTGAATACACATGAGTGTTTTAAATCGATTACAGCTCTTTTTCAAAAGTCTTTCGTTTGTTTTTGAGTACCATTCGGCAAAGCAGTCTTCAGTTCAAAAGTAGCAAATCTTCAATCTTCTTTACTATAAACTCAGACAGAGACTTCCAGCAAAAAGCGCCATTGTAAAATAGGCCGTTTAGAGAAGTTCCAAAAACTTTGGAAAGTTATGCAGCAGTGTTTTGAGAAATGCTGTTTTCATCGCAACTTTTTACGATTTTTCAAGCGTCTCAAATGGTTAAGTCACATTTTTGATAAAAACTTAGAAATGTGTCGCGATTTACCATCATAACATGTGAAAAAGCCTTACGAAGAAGTGCGAACGTTCTATAAGGGTGATCCACAAGTAATGAGGCCATCCTTGAACAATTTTCAAAGTCTTCTTTGAGTTTAGTCATAAACAACCAGCAAATTGAACGATTTCGTATGGAGTGACGCTCGCATGTTGTCCTGAGAGAATCTTGTAGCATCACCCGCATATCTTTAACCGGACTTCGAAGAAATCAGTGTTTTTTAAACGCCAAAGTGCTGCTTATTCAAGAGAATCTGGGCAACAAACCTTCCAGAAAGGCTTTCTAAGCTCTTTTTAATGTGGATATTAAATAATATTCTAAATGTTTTGTTCAGGAGAGATAAACTGTAAGAAAAAGTGCGAGATTTGCCGCAGATTTTAGGGTTTAAAATTGTGTTTTAGTAAACATCTTCTAAAAATGAAAAATCTCGGGATAAATTGCATATGCATGAATAGAAAGTAAAGAGCGCTACCTGAAGTCGTCCGTCAAAGGTGAACACATACGATTACTTTAAGGAGAATAAATAATATGTCTCCTAAGACTCAATGCTATATCCTCTAGTGCGAAGTGTTGAGACCACCAAGCTATCGTGGATAAGGATAAGGTAACAGTTCCCTCATTCGTTGCATCACAAGTATTTTTGATAGCATCATAGCTTTAACTGCGATGGTGCCGCTCAAAGTTTGAAATTACTTGCAATCATAGGTGCGATAGGAGGAGACGGGCTCACGCCAGGTGAAGGAGGTCTCCGCTACTCCCATCTTTGTAGGGTGAAGGGGTAAGTGAGCCCTGAAAGCGAAGGTCCTAAGAAACTACATATTATTTGAAAGCTGAGGTCAAGGTGAATCGAATAACACCGTTGATTTTTTCTAGATGTTTTGGGTCGGGAAATATGAGCTATTTTATCTGGCTATTATTGGGCTGTTATAGTGTGGACCCCGGCCAGGTTCCCATAGGTACTTCCGCAGCGCGCACGCAGCGCGCCTTTCTAAATGTCTCTCGCCTCACTCACGAGCAGTAGAGCATATTTATGCTTACAAAGGAGAAAAATGTAAAGTGGAAACCTCTAGGTTCACATCGAAAGAGACGTATGCAAGAATGAAAAGCAGCCAACTTCCATGAGTA